AAGAGAAGCCAGGGCTATTGCCATGCAGATAGAATTGGAGCAGAAAACAGGTACAATTCCTACCCAGTAGTCTCTATCCATTTATTTATTTATTCTCTTCACTTGAAGCCACAGAAGGAAATGGCAACCATTCAGTCTCATGGGCAGTAGGGAATAAAGTACTATAAAAATTGCCCTGTCTGTTTGAGGCCCACTGGACAATCCCTCACTAGCTGGGATCCTGCAGAGAGATACAATCTCTCTCTGACTGCAATAAAATTAAGGACATGCTACTTCCATTAGAAATGTTATAGTGAAAAACCTTCCCTCCACAGAATCCTGTACATTACATTGATGCATATAGTGCATGTAAGGTAAAGGTAAAGGTATCCGACTCTAGGGGGCGGTGCCCATCCCCATTTCCAAGCTGTAGAGCCAGCATTTGTCCAAAGACCGTTTCGTGGTCACGTGGCCAGCACGACTAGACACGGAACGCCGTTACCTTCCCACCGTGGTGGTACCTATTTATCTACCCGCATTTTACATGTTTTTGAACTGCAAGGTTGGCAAGAGCTGGGACAAGCAATGGGAGCTCTCTCCGTCGCATGGATTCGATCTTACGACTGCTGGTCTTCCGACCTTGCAGCACAGAGGTTTCTGGAGTTTAACCCACAGTGCCACCAAGTCCCTAGTGCATGTGCATGTACATAAATATTAGAAAAGCACTGGCAACTGGATAATTCAAACCTGTGATGTGATTTCAAAGTTTAAGGGATATTAGAAACCACAACTGGCATAAGATTTCCAATAAAAATAATGGGAACTTTACATTAAGGACATCTTTTCTCACCCTCATCCCAGCTTCTGCCTTGCCTGCTTATTTCCTTCTCACCAGTAATAAACAACTCCTCCTGTTCCTTGGTCTTGTGTATAATTTTGCTCTTTTCACAATTCTTCCTTGGTTCATACATCTCTTTTCAATCCAACATGCCCAGCCAGGTTTCTACTTTCCATAGTCTACACTTCCCTTCACTGCCTTGACCTGTCTGCCTAGCATTTCTCATCCTCATCCCTCACATAACATATATGGTGTCTCTTAATTTGAAATATTGTAATTCCCTTCCCTTTTTTTTACTCCTCTCCCCAATTTCTCTCATTCATTTTTCTAAAACCACTAAACTTGTCTTCTGCTTCTGTGTATAAGGGATTATCTTTAATGTATATGCTACTGTTGATTTTCTTTAACCACATCACATGCTCTTTAGGGACATAAGGTTATTCTCTTACATGGGGGAGAATTTGTGATGTATACACTTTTCAAGAGGTGTAGTTACACTTCTTCAGAGACTCCTTTCTGAAAAACCTATTGCATTGCTTTCCTCATCTCATCTTCACCTCCTTCCGCATTGACGCTGACCTTTAATGTTCTCTTTTTTGTTTCACTGTGTGCTCTACACCATTTATTCAACTTTCAGCTTCTCATTGTCTTGTTTTTCACTTTCCCTTTCTCCTGGAGTCTCTTCTTAGTCTTCAGCTACCCTGTGTGTCGTTTTCAGCTGAGCTAAATTGACAACTTTCCCTTCTGTCACAGCATTCGGACTGCAAACTACTTTAATAACTGTTGAGAGAAGTATCACACACACTTAGCCACAGTGCACTATAAAATGTAAAGTCAGCTCCTACAGTTTCTCTTGTGTGCACACTAGGGTAATCAAAGATACAACTGGAGTACGGGTGTACAGTTTTATTAAAAAGTTCAGTTTTCAACAGATTGCAATCAGCCTTCTTTGTAAGCTACCCTGTTTCCCTGAAAATAAGACTTAATCTGGAAATAAGCCCTAGTATTATTTTGCAGAAGCTTGTACTATAAGCCCTACCCCCAAAATAAACTCTAGTTAAGTGAAACCCCACCTTCCACCATTGTGCAGCAACCAGAAGATGACATGACTGTACAGTATTTGAATAAATGTAAATTGTTGTACATGAAAAAATCCCCTGAAAATAAGCCCTAACGTGTTTTAAGGAGCAAAAATTAATATAATTATTTTTTTCAGGGAAACATGGTAGTGAGTCCCCCAACTTTGACTCCCTTCCTCCCTGGCACTGAGAGTATATAAACAGTATTAATTATAAATTCACTTGGCCTCCTCACTTCCCTTTTCCTCCAAAGAAGTCACAGTACACACTGTTCTGAATGCCAAATTGAACTCCTCGCACAGCTCACAGGGGACACCTGTTGGTTGTTCAGCATACTTTTGGGGTTTGATTTTCTGTGCAATTTGTTTCCTCTGAAAACAGGGCAGATCCCAAAGCCTCAAACTATCTGTCTGTCTGTTTGTTCATTCCTTTATTCAGTTTACAGTATATACTATCCCATTAATGCTAGCAGTACACTGTGTGGTTTACACAGGGTTAAAAACACACAAGTCCTCAATACACAATAACAAAAAAATACAATTGAAACAGCACAGCAATACAACATCTAGAATGAAGTTGTTCAAGCCCTGCATTGCTGACTATCATTCTCTTTTGCTTCTGTGTTTCCCCGAAAATATGACAGTGTTTTATATAAATTTTTGCTCCAAAAACCACATTAGGGCTTATTTTCAAGGGATGTTTTATTTTTTTCATGTACAACAATCTACAGTACATGTATTCATATAGTCATGTCATCTTCTTTTGGTTGGTGCACAATGATGGAGGGCTGGGTTTCACTCAACAGGGGCTTATTTTTGGGGTAGGGCTTATATTATGAGCATCCTGAAAAATCATATTAGGGCTTATTTTCAGGTTAGGTCTTATTTTCAGAGAAACAGGGTTGTTCTTTCTGCACTACTAGATAGTAATTTGGGGCTTAGTTCTGATTGTAATGCAACAAGCACTACAGTACTTGGAAAGTTTCAAGTTCAGTTCAGATCTGTTCTGAATGCATCCAGAGAAGGAAAAGTGGGTACATTTCTGGGTCTCGTGTATGCTTGGCACCACCAATCCATCTGTCTGTCAAGGCCCTGGCATACAGGGGCAATTTTAACCCAGCCCTTACCACTTCTTTGGAAATTTTAATTTCGGTTTGGACTCATGAACCTGCTAAAAACACATCTTATTTTGCACAGAATAATTTAAGAATTAATCATCCTCAGCAATGACAGCACATAACAGCCTTTACCAAATACACAACTCCTAGAGTCCTCCAATCAGCACAGTTATTTGGCAGTATCTGAATTGTGTTCCAATAAAATAACTTACCCATGTTGTGCTCAACCCAGTCTCCCACCACCCACAAAATGCTTTCACAAGCAACTCCCATCAGTCCCTGCCAGCACACCCAATAACCAGATAATATGAAAACTGAGATCCAAAGTACCTTGAAGGAACAAGATTAAGGAAAGCAGGCATGTCCATTCTCTTGTATGGAGAAAACTGAAGAGCTATGCCCTTTGGGGCAGCATTGCAGTAGCACAAACCCTTTTGAGAGCCCCCAATACAATGTCAGCCATTCCTTAAGAAAAGGGATTGCAAAGGCTGAGCAAAGAATCACATGCTCTTGTAAGTCTTATAGTCTTTTCTTCCATGCATTTCTTGCATGTTATAATGACCTGTTCTTTAATGCACACAGTATGGAAAATAGGTATATTATAGGTGTCATAGACTACAAAAAGCCTTCCAACATGGCAACTGGCTTCTAAAATAGTGGATATACTTATACTTGTTTATAAATAAATAAACCCTGAAGAGAGTCAAATGCCCAAATAGCAACAGAGAACGCAGCCAAGCTTAAAAACACATTCAAATGGAGAAACAAGAAGTATATTTAGCTTACATTCTAATTTTAAACTAAATCTCATTCACCAGCTTCCCTCAGGAAAATTAGTTCAGCCCTAGTTTTCATTCTGTCAGGACAAATAGAACTGGGAAGCTGTTCACCATACATAAGGTTTTTTTTTGTTTGTTTATTTGTTTTGTTCACCCTTTATTTAGGACTCATCTTTGAGTTTCCTGGCCACAAAGGCTCCAGACTGGGAATTTTCTAATCTCTTTGAGGCTGTAACTTCGCAGCTCCAGTAACAGCTTACCTCTCATTAATAATTTTCATTTACCATAAGGTTAATAAGAGAAAGAAACATGTCACTCAGAAGGCTTTGCTGATATGACATTCTCACAGCAAATATAAAAAGAGAAAGTACAAAGTTAAGCTTCTTATAAAAGTCTGATCAGCATTTTCCAGCAGTTCTAACCTTCATAATTGAAGGAAGATCTTCGGATAATGCTTATTTCTGTAAGTTAGTTAACTGCTTGCATGTAACATCAGGAACACCTTCCCATCACCAGACACAAGAAAACCATAAAAATAGAATGTGTGCCTTGCTTCATCTATTGGATCAGAAAAAGATAACACAGTGATCGCAGATGCTTGTCAAGGTGATGGTACTTCTAAAACAGTTGTTCCCAATCTTGGGTAACCCAAGTATTACATTGCAGTCCAAGAAAACCTAATTTACCTAAGGTTTGGAACCATTGTTCTAAAGCTTCATCACCACTATACATGGAACTTTACAAAGCAACACAAACAAAAGAGACAAACCTCTGCTTAGAAAAGTTTAGTTTTAAAAAGAGGGAGAAGTAAAATAATGGATGATTGCAAACCAATCCAGTTGCTTGTACTTGGTAAGGCTTTCTCTGAAAAGGCAGAAAAATATTTCAAATAATTAGCATGTCATTCGAGCATAGTGAAATAAATTAACCTCCTGGGGCCCATGAGGGCCAAAACATGCCTCTGTCATGTATGAGGCAACCTCCAGAGTCATGTCTGTGCCCCCATAAACAGAATACAGAGATCCATGAAGCACAGAGATCCTCCTCACATCTGCTCACATGTCAAGGTGCATTTAATTCTGAAAGAACCAATAACTTCCTTGTGAATTGTCACTCATCTAACATTTCAGGGTTAAAAAGTTCATCACAATAACCTACAAGAAAGTGCAGCAGCAGCAAATACAGTATGAAAATCATCTGAATATTACCTTTCCAAAGAATCAGTTTCTGTGATGTCTGTCTCCCTCACATCTCCTGGTCCATTGGCAACCCCATCACAATGGCCTTTCCTGATCACCGCATCAGAAGTCCTTTCTAAAAACTGAGCATCTTCCTTGATGCGCTGCTGGATCATTGGAGTCAGTGGCATTTCAAAGCTGAAGTAACTATCAGGCTCAGAATATAAAGTTTCCAGCGACTCGGCACTATAATATAAAGACGCATTGTCCAGAATACTTTCAAACTGTGAACTGTACACATCTGTTGAGACTTCAGAATGCGGTTGCCCAAGGACATCTTCCACTTTCCCACTGACAGTGTCTTCCTCCTCCTCCATTAGCCTAGGATTCAAAACACACAAACAAAATCACTGCAGTTTCTCTTTTAAGACTGGCATGTGGGTATGATCAAATCTTTTGTGGGTGTGCACACATACTAACAGCTCTGTACTTTTGATCACCGCATACCAGTGTTTACATGTCTGGTTGCAATTGTGCTGATGAGAGAACAAACACAGTTGTCTTTCCCTGTGACTGCCTGCCCAACCTCCAGCACTGAGTAGAAACAAAAGTGGCTGTGATGTTATGATGTGTACTCAGAAACATCAGTTCGCTGTGTTCAGGGCTGGGGGGGGGGAGAGAGACACACTGTGTGCTTCCATCTCAGATTAGTTTCTGGAGATTCTGAAGCCTCTGGGTTTTTTCTCCCAACATCTCAGTCAACTCACAGAACACAAAGAATAGATCAGAACTACAAAGAGACAATCATTATTTAGAGATATGAAAGTGGCAAAACAAAGGCCACTTTCCAGGGTATTTCCCCCTCACAACTAACATACTTTGCACATTTTTGAAGGTCTATGAAATCAATAAAGGAGTGATTAGAGTAGGGGGTATGTGTGTGCTACAATTATAGAGTTTACAGCAGGGGTCTCAAACATGCGGCCCAGGGGCCATTTGCGGCCCTCGCCTTGCCTGCCCCCCCAAAGCGCCCACACATCCTCTACTGTCAAGAGTAAAAAAAAGCCTTGCCTCGCTTGCCGGCTCTCTCCCAAGACAGCACCTCTTGCACCCTCCATCCAGAACTGCAGCCTGCCAGCCAGCCCACCTGTCTGTCGGCTAAGGAAACTCCTGGGCAGCTTCCTCGGGCTCTTGCTCCGCTTGGCGGAAAATCTGATGCCGCCCAGCCTCACCCAGCCTCTGCCACTAGCGGCCCCCAGGTAAATTGAGTTTAAAACCCCTGCTCTTGAGAGTCTCCTAGAAAAGATGTCCAGGATACTAAGCATTATCAACTGCCTCTAGCGGCCCCCAGGTAAATTGAGTTTTAAACCCCTGTTTTACAGTATAAGATGCCTCTCTCTTGAGGACCAAGAGCATTTTTCACAGGGTACTATATGTCTGTAAAAACCAAACCTAGGAGGAGATAAACACAAGTAGAGCAAAAGACTCTTGTACAGAGGTGCCTCGAATTACAAACATCCCTACTTACGACCATTTTGAGTTACGACCAACTCCAGCCGCAAAATTTTGCTTCTACTTGCGACCAGAGCTCCCACTTATGAACAGAAAAAGGCAGGGGGGAAAGGAGGGAAATTCAAATTTCTAACTGTAGGTGACGACGAGGCTGCTTATTTATAGCTCTTTCATCCCAATGGTTAGAGTGAGTGGTTCGAGTGAGTGCGATTGAAGGAGGCTTGGGCCTGTCTGGCTTTTGCTTTGGAGTGAGCATGTGTGTGTTTGCAGGGAGGCTGCGTGCTGCCTGGTAAGGTAAGGTGCTGTTTTCTGCTTTTTAAAAACTGTTCTGGGTGTTTTTGCAGCATGGTTTTGGGCTGGGGAGAGTTATGTTTCTGTGCTGTGATAGCTCTTGGGGGGTTGTGGGGTTTTGTGGGGTTTTCCCCCATTTCCAATGGGTCTGGGGGATTTGGTTGCTTTTTGGTTATCCCCCCTTTCCGATGGGGAGTTCGGTTGCTTTTTGGATTTTCCCCTCCATTTCTGCTAGGTCTTGGGGGGTTTCCTTGCTTTTTGGATTTTCCCCCCATTTCCGATGGGTCTTGGGGAGTTTGTTTGATTTTAAGTGTCCCCCCCCATTTCCAATCTTGCACAATCTGTTTGATTGCTTTTTGCTTTCTCTTGTTTGCATTTGCAATGGGTCTTGCACAGTTGATTGGTTTTTGGTTTGTTTTCTTTGCATTAGGTCTTCCACACTTGATTGCTTTTTGCTTTCTCTTGCGCCATTTGCAATGGGTTTTGCATGGTTGATTGGTTTTTTGTTGTTGTTGTTTTTTGCATTACGTCTTCCACGCTTGATTGCTTTTTGCTTTCACTTGTTTGTATTTGCAATGGGTCTTGCACAGTTGATTGCTTTTCTTCCCTTCCCTCCTTCGGTTGGAAGGGATTAATCGCATTTTTGGGGAGGGTGATTTTTTTTTCTTCGGCCAGAACGGATTAATTGCATTTCAATGCATTCCTATGGGAAATGGTGCTTCGACTTACAACCATTTCAAGTTACAACCATCTTCTGGAACGGATTATGGTTGTAAATCGAGGCACCACTGTACTTCCAATTCTTCCTTGCCTATCCCTGTCACCAGGGCCAGAGCTACAACTAGGTGAACTAGGTGACTGCCAGAGCGCAGACCTGAGGGGGCGCAAAACTGACCTGAGGGGAGCAGAACTGAACTCAGAAGAGCGCTGAACTGACCTGAGAGAGGCAGTTTTATACAGACTACAGTTTTTTGAAAAAAATGCAACTGAAAATTTATATTTAAAATTTTTAAGATAAACACCACAACAGTCATATAAAAATTTTCCATATACAGTGGTGCCCCGCATAGCGACGTTAATCCGTACCAGGATTAACGTCGCTATACGGAAACATCGTTAAACGGAACTAAAAAGCCCATAGAAATGCATTAAAACACGATTAATGTGTTCCTATGGGCTTAAAACTCACCGTTGAGTGAAGATCCTCCATAGGGGCAGCCATTTTCGGTGCCTCTTAAGCGAGGAATCCGTCCAGAAAACAGCGACGGCCATTTTGAAACCGCCGATCAGCTGGCTTCCCCCTACCCAGTTCCCACCCACCCCAGTCCCCGATGCTGGGAGGCGCGCACAGCCAGGGCTTGCTATCTAAAATTTACCATATACTGTAACCCAGGGGTCATTTCATAGAAAAAGGGCTACTGGTACTCTCATTAGCATAACACATTTGCATATATCACCCTGGCATCAATGTAAGTATGCAAAAAACCACTGGGTAAGTAAAAATAAGCACTTTCAGAGTTGCCAGCACTGTATACCCTTGAGCCCACCCCCGAGGTGACCCCCTGCTGCAACCCCTATCTCTTACAAATGTCCCATTAACACCAGCACTGTGATCTACTTCCTGGGGTTATGAGTCACCAATAACTCAATAACATCAATAACCCCACTGCTGCCTGTAATGGGGGAGAAAATTTTAGTGAAGATCCTGCAGCTTCCCTCTCTCACTTAGTTTTCAGTCTCTTTTAAGCTACATTCCCCCAGTTATAACTGGAGACAGACTTTTAGTTTGGTAGGGGCTCCACCCATGTTCCCTCTAAGCCAAGTCAGCTTCTGAGCAGAAATTCTACCTTGTGACCCCTGACCTGGAAGATCTACTAATCTCTTGCTCATGCCTTTTCTTGAAAAATCCCAAATTCTGTGTGCCAGACCAATACCCGTAGTGCAAGGAAACTAGGGTTTCACTTTCAATGTGGCAACTCTTCCACTGCAACTGCAAGGCTTCTATTGAGCTGAACGTATTCGCTTGGATGATGTTCCCAATGACATTTGGGGAAAAGTGAGGTTCTATCTTCTTTCACTCAATTTTTACTTTTCAGTTACTTCTGTTATCATTACATTGTATTTGGGAAATGGAACATTGGGGGAGAGTAAGCCCTTCCTTATTGAAATAGCTTTGTTTGCCTGCTCGCTGAAGTTGTTGCATTTTGCTGGGTATAGGATGTGTCTATATATCTATATATGAGGGTATAATCAGGTTCTACGCCACAGTGTGACAGAGAGTGTTGGACTAGATGGATCATTGGCCTGATACAACATGGCTTCTTTTATTTTCTTATGAGAGAGAGATGTGAGAAATTTCAACAAAAAGTTGAACTCTTCATAATTTCAACTTTTTGTACTTTCTGGTCTTCCTACAATTTGTCTGCTTTTGAAAATTGATTGGGGGTGTGTGTAAAAGTAGTTAGTCTTGCCTAGGCGCCTAGGGCGCAAAAAAGTCTAACACCGGCCCTGGCAGTCACATTCACATATTCCTAAAGAGGCACAAATATAACAGGTGCATTGAGAAAGTGACACATCCCTTTCGTTCACACTCCAACTAACATCTATAGAGAGATTCATGCCCCCATCTGTCCTTTTTGATTAAAACAATAAATATTGATTGGTTAACAAGTCTGTTGACCAATGTCCAGTTTTAGCACACCTGCGCTATCAGCTTTCTAGGTGAGCTGACACATAGAAATTAAAACTGAATGGCTACAATCCATTAGTAAACTACATCTAGAGGAAGCCCACTAAAAAACTGGAATTTACACAGGTGTTGACTCATCAGATCCCCACTGATTCAACAGACCTACTCTAGCTGCAACTTACTGTTTGATTTCAGGCAATAAAAAATATTCGAAATCTGTTCTCCAAATTGGATTTTGCTTCAGATAACTATAATCTGCTGGTTTGGGGGAATCTAAAAGCCTCTCAATGAAAACATATCAGACCTTAAGATGAGGATATAAAATTCCCAATTTCTTAATTTACAGTCAAAAGAGCTAAAACATACCACAAAAACATGCAGGCTCCCCAGTTCTTCTTTGTGTATTGCCTCCTGTTATTCACTCATACAGTGGTGCCTCACATTACGACGTTAATTCATTCCAGCGAAATCGCTGTAGAACGAAAACGTCATAATGCGAAAATAAAAACCCCACTGAAACCTCCAATGGGCTGGAATCTCACCGTCCAGCGAAGATCTTCCATAGGGCGGCCATTTTTGGTGCCTGTGCAGCGAGGAATCCGTCCCAGAAAACAGCGGGCAGCCATTTTATTTACCCGGTGGCCATTTTGAAACGGCCAATCAGCTGTCCGAAAATTGTCGTTTTGCGAAGAATCGGTTCCCAAAGCAGGGAACCAATCATTGCAAAGCGAAAAACCCCTATTCAGACCATCGTTTTGCAATCGCAATTGCAATCGCAAAAAGATCGTCGTAATGCAGTTTTGTTGTAATGCGGGGCAATCGTAAAGCAAGGCACGACTGTATTTCACAATTACATGGTTAAGGTTGTTAACAGGAGTTGGTGTCTGAAATCGTGTTGAAGTTGGCATAACATACAGTTATGGCTGAGGATGTGTGGATAGTGTTATGCCTAAGCAGTCAATGTTGCTTTGATCATGCAATACACATTGAAATTGATTGCACAGTTGTACAGTTCCCATAATTTGAGTTTGCAAATAACTGCATGATTCACATTGTGATTTTTGCCCACTGTGCCTCCAGGACTCCTATGTGAATACTACTTCCACCTTGGTGCAATTATCTCTCCTGCTTAAGTTACCTGAAGTTACACAAGCATAGCTGCAAAACAGGATTTCAGCTACTGTGAACAAGGGTTTCCTCTTAACATTCAAAACTGGTTAGAAAAAATGCTTCAAAAGAAAATCTGGGAAGCCTTAAATAGGGCCAATTTGTGTGCACTGGCTACTACTGGAGCAGCATCATTATGTTTGCAGCAAACTATAAGGAGTTATTGGTTCTAATGAACATGAATCTTGCCTTTCTGTGAATAAGACCACTACTAGACATGGAAGCTTTGTACAGTATTTGTATCTCTAGAGATACAAATACAGATCCATTCCCTTCCCCAGAACCAGCCTCATCCACTCACTGGACACATGTGTCAATCACTGGTAACATTGCGCTAATCGTGGAAGTAGCCAGACCGCACTTTCCCACCTCCCTACACTGCTGACCACTCTGGCAAGGAGGTGGGATGATGAGTCTCCCCAACCAGCTGCTGAGTGGTCAGCACCACAGAAGGTGGGGAATCACCAACCGGGCGATTGGTGCAATGTTGCCGACAATGAATGAGCATGTCACACACCAAGCCTGGTGAATGGACTGGGATGATTGTGAGGGGAAGGTCCAAAAAGCCCAGCCACTTGTGGTGGCAATATTTGTGAGATGAATATGACTATCCCATCTCTATCCACTACAGTATATTTTTACAGACTACTCTTAGAACTGGATACAAATGAGTAGGCGGAGGATTTCTATGACATTTCACATTTTCTCTGCAACCTACATTTGAACGCATAAGCAAATTCAAACATGTTTATAGGAATCTGGCCTTTCTCACCAGATTATTCATAAACATGTTCAAACCCACCCATAACCTCAAATATAGGTTGCATGAAAAAAATGGCATGTCATAGAGGTCCTCCCACTACAAATGAGCAACTCAACCCAGGTCATTTTTATATCAGCGAAAGATGAGCCACACTTAACTAAGAAATCAAATCTACCTAGTAAGATTTAATCAAGTGGTTACTAAGGAATGCAGGAGGTTAATTACTGGAGTAATATAAATAAATTTAATTATACCCACGCCTCCTACCGTTGTGTTTATAATTGTTTTTAACACATATTATTCGTACTGGACAATTAACTGTTTACTTACCACAGAAATTAAGACCTATTAAAGCAAATTATGATTAAAGGAAATTCCTGCTATTGCCACATAGTTTACAATGGAAGAGGAAAGTGAAAATAACTTTGCCTCTGAAAAAAGAGAGGCCAAATCGAGTTGTTCAAAAAGTGAAGAATATAATACACACAAACACACATACTAAGCTCATATACTAAGGACACAATAGAGACTAGTTGTTAAAAAGGGGAGGGCCCAGCTCCTGCAGCCTGTGCTTTTAAAGACTGCAGCCGGCGCCAGAGTGTCTTGGGCAGGTGCTGGAGGTTGTGCAGCCAGAGGAGTGGGACTCTGGGATGGTCATGGTTGGTTTTGTGTTGCAGTTTGTAAACCCAGGCTCAAAAAGGTTCACCATCACTGGCCTAGGCCCACATCTCTACTCGAAAAGGAATTTCTTATTGTGGCTGATCTTCCACTAGCTTCTCTCTCTCATTCCCTCACCTCACACAGTAGTTGTGAGGATGCTGAGGGGGAATCATGTATGCTTCCTTAATTAGGGAACATGGCATATAAATATAATTTATACTGTAGGGTGCTGTTTATCAATGACCCCTCACCCAACCTCATTTTTATGATCTCAATCAAAGTTGAAAACAGAAGACTTGAGACTCAAGTGGGTCACCAGAAATTATTACGTTCACCTTGGCATCTTGTGCAAGATTGTGCTGGTGAAGGTGGAGAGAGTAACAAAGTGGCAAGGAAGGAGAAGCTGTTCAAGTTTGGGCTGAGGATCATGAGGGAAATAGGAGGGCAATTAGGGGACGGCACCTCTTTTGAATTTCTGATCTGGTTCACTCTGCACACCTACTCCCACTGCACACTGAACACTGAATGTGAAGCAGGCCTATCAATTTAAATAATTATACAGTGGTGCCCCACTTGACGACGATAATCCGTTCAGTTAAAATAGCTGTTAAGCGATATCATCGTCAAGCGAAAGAAAAAACCCACTGAAATGCATTGAAAAACGGTTCAATGCGTTCCAATGGGCAAAATACCTCATTGTCCAGCGAAGATCCTCCATTGGGGAAGCCATTTTCGGTCGCTGTCTTCCAGAAATAGGTCCGGAAAACAGCGGGCGGCCATTTTGAAACCTGATGATCAGCTGTTTTTGATCGTCGTAATGTGAAGAATCAGTTCCCAAAGCAGGGAACCAATCGTCATAAAGTGGATTTTCCCCCATTCAATCATCATTTTGCGATCGCCATAGCAATTGCAAAACCTCATCATGAAGCGATTTCATCGTGAAGCGGGGTAATCGTCAAGCGGGGCACCACTGTATAAGTAGGGTCTGTATATTTCATCTAGTCAGCCCTTTTGGTGCAATCGATGTTACCTAAACCTATTCACATAACAGCATCCAGGTCACATGGACAGTTCTTTGGATTATGGGGAGGATGCCTGCTGATCTCTCATTAACAGTGCACTTGCCAGGACAATGAAGAATCTGCCTCTTTTAATTTTCAGTTTCTCAAACTCTGGTGAAGCCTATTTCACAGAGGAAACAAGACCAGTAAGATGTTGGCAGGTCACCCTATCAAGTAAAGGAGACTTTTCAACTTGGGGCCCTCGAGACACATTCATCTGTAATTCCTACTACTAGTTGTCAGAATGGCAGACTGGTATTACTAAATTGTCTCTGCCAACTGCAAATGCACCTCAGCACAAAGTTTCTCAGAACTGCCCCAGGTTTACCTCTACATGAGCCTCTTACCTTGCCTGCACATTCACTGATGATTAATCCCAGGCCTCACTTTCCCATCAAGAAGCTCCTTCACTCCCCCGGTCGCTTCATTTAAACCCTAATTCCCCATCTGCTGGCTGTAATACCAGGGACGAAGCTTTCTCAGATTTCCTGTGTCATTCTCATTCATAGCTTGCTTACAGTCAGGAAGCCAGGCTGAACATTCTGACCAGTTTTCGAATGACCTGAATAATCAAAAGGAGCAATGCTGGATGCATTTACAATTTCAAAAAAGCAGCCTGCTACTGGCTTCAGACCAGAACTTTCGTTGCTTGGTACTGGAGACTTACTCATGCTATGACAGAAGCATACAAAGGAATACAAGGAAAGTAAGACAGTGTTTCAAAGTCAGAGTGATCAAGGAAATCTCTTTAGGAGCTGGTAACATTTTAAGTGCAAATGATCTTACTACATCAGGAGCATAATGCAAACATACAGTATTTTGAGACTTCTAAAAAACTGTGCTTAATATTAAGAATCCAGGTATTAGAATTTGGGAAAGAATCTCCATAATGTTCTAAATTTTAAACATATAGTCTGGAGATTAGCTATGTTGTTGTATCTGAAACAGATGAGCAGCATCGATGCTCATCCACATAACACTTGCAGCTGCAGCACACAGATATTGGTCTCCACATGGCTGGCACATGAGGTCTACAGGATGGAAAGCTGCCAGTGCCTTAACCCATTAACCGGCCCACTTGCCAACAGGAAGCACCCACCATATTTGATGCCATACACAAGGCCTTCAAATTGCATTCGTGAAGGCTTTCATGGCCGGGATTCTTGCCATACACAAGGCCTTCAAATTGTGTTCGTGAAGGCTTTCATGGCCGGGATCTAATGGTTGTTGTGGGTTTTTTGGGCTCTTTGGCCGTGTTCTGAAGGTTGTTCTTCCTAACGTTTCACCAGTCTCTGTGGCCGGCATCTTCAGAGGACAGCACTGAAGACAGCAGTGGACTGAAGTGCTGTCCTTCAGAGGACAGCACTTCAGAGGAGAGCACTGCTTAATAATAAGCACAGAGTGCTGTCCTCTGAAGATGCCGGCCACAGAGACTGGCGAAACATTAGGAAGAACAACCTTCAGAACACGGCCAAAGAGCCCAAAAAGCCCACAACAACTTTCAAATTGCGTTCCTTGTGGCCCATTCATACCTTAGGAAGCATCTCACCACAGGTAGGTCTTCCCTGTACAGAGAGACTCTGTTGAAGATTTCTTTCCTATTGACAGTTTAACAAATTCTTGAGAAACAGGTGTGGCAGAAAAACTAAGGAACTCTCCCTGATCTGCTGCAGACTCAGCAGCCTGTGTCTCTGCACATTTCTAGGCGGCTCAATAATAAGCAGGTTTTTGGTGTGTTTTTTTTTTAAAAATCATGTGGCACTTGATTTTCTGGAGGTCCTTTGACAAATGTGTGACTTTTGTATCTTATAACTGTGAAAAGACATTTAATGGTGAGGTGTTTTGGCTTTCATTATTGTTGATGGTGGGATAGGTTGTAGAGTGGCCTAGTTTGAAGACCGCTATAAAAACTTCTAAAAGCAATAAACCAACAGCTGTTTATCTTCCTTTCCTCACTCAGTGACAATATAAAACCAAAGGCCAACAAGTTTCCCAATGGTACCCCAAAGTACAGAGTCAAGGCTTTGCTCCCAGCCACCCCAGAAAAGAGAGACTTATTTTTTACCTGTCTTTGTCTTGCACAGATGGCTGCTCATGAACACAGTTCTTTTCTTCTGTTACAAAGACTTCATCCTCTTCATCTTTGGCCAAGGAAGCTGAGGATCTGATGTTTTCCCAAGACACATTCCAAGGTCTCTCAGACCAACCAGCTAATTCTGGCAAGGCTGTGGATGGAATATGGCAGTCTGATATACTAGAGATTGTCCTCCTCTCTGCATTACCAACCTCAGAGTGCTCCATGCTCTTCTGCTCCTCTGATTTTTGTATCCAATGGATCTCCACCCCTTGAAATTCCACATGTTTGCTCACAGCTGCTTCTTTTGACAGCCTCCTCTCAGGGGTTCTTTCTGATTTTTTTGAATCAAGCTCAGAAAACACCCGCTCAAAGTCTGCCCAGGCACCCCTAAGAATGCCATCGGTGCCCGCGTCTTTGCTCTCTGGTCCTGCCAAAGGCATATACCTACTTGTTTCACACATATTCTGGACTTCCTCAGTTCTACCACCAGCAGTTTGCAGGGTCTCCGGCTGTACTTCCATAGTCAAGACCATAGAGTCTTCTTCTGTGATCCAATACAATTTTCTCTCTGCTGCTCCTTCAATTGGAAGAGGCATTTCTGTTGATTTTTCTTGGCCCGCAAGAACTGTCTCTCTGGCTGCCTCTGCAATCAATCTGCCAGCCTCACTCTCTTTTTCCATTTGCATCTCTGAACCAAAAGCATTATTCTCTCCCTCCTGTGCCTTTCCAGATTCTAAATATGCAGAAGCGTTTGTCATCTCACTCACTTTGCCCACTGTTTGAGCGGGTTCTTTTTCTCTGGATGTTATCTGCAGCCCCTCAAAAAGCGGTGCCACTCTGTCTCCAGGACTGCCATTCTCAGAAGGCCCAGGAAGCAGCTGGTCACCTAGCTGTCCATCTGAAGTACACATTATAGCCTCTTCCTGATTCTGCAATGTCTTGGCCCCTTCTTCCGCAACCCCATATTCTGGGAATTCATTGATTACATCGTGTGGGAGAAGAGTGTTACCTCCACGGCCACCTGAGGGGAAAAGTAAACAAAAATGCAAGCACTTAATTCCATTACCAATATTCAACCTTCATTTCTGCTGCATGGAAACAGTGTTTCATTTTGCATGATGTCATTTCTTATTTAGTCTTTATTACTTGGCTTGCTTTTAATACTGCTTTGAGGTTTGGGACAGAAATGTCTTTTGGCGGTTTGGGTTTCCAAGTTAGAAAAGTCCAAGCAACCTATTGACATATCTGTGTGAGGCTTCAATTAGCTTAGCAGTCACTCCCTCCCCCCCAGGGAGCCCCAGGACCTGTAATTCTATAAAAAAGGGCTAAATAGACTTCACAAATTCACATGTCTGCTTGCCAACATTGAGTACCCAATCCTGAATCACATAAAAATCCTCTTCAATACTACTGCTGCCTCTTAGCAAGAGATCAAAATCACCTCCCATTCCCTCCCCAGAGAATTCAAAGAAGGAAATGTTTCTCTTCTGTCCCCAATGGGCTTTTGCAGAGGGCAACACCATACAGACACTGTATAATACTCCGCAAAAGCTCATGATGTGGACTTGCATTTCTTCTTCCTTTACAGCAGTCCACAATGCCATAGCACTCTGACCAGGTCAGTGACGATCAGAGACTGAAAACAATTTGGGAGTCTACAAATCCCCAACTCTCCTAGCTGCAAACTAGAGTTCATTAAAGTAAATTTCCATAGTTCTGTTACAGTAATGGCTGGCCACAGAACCATGCCAAGATCTGTTAACCACTTGAAAGCTATTACATATATCTTTAACAGATAGATAGGTTCTTAAATTCTATGTTGATTATACTGTGAGTCTCCAACCACCCTCCAGTTAGCTTTGTGATCTGCAAAACTGGCACTGGTGCAGGAAAAGGTACAATAAGTGAAGACTGCACCTGCAACATTGACCCATTAATGAGGGGAGGAGGCAGATTCTTCTGTCACCTCAATACAACTGTAAATGTTGAACCTTTTGGACCTGGCCAATCCCATGCATCTTTTCCATCAAATTATAAGGTAATAGATGGAAACAACTCATCAGTTCTACCTCACAAAGGTAAGAGATCTCTCATTGAGATGAAGTTATTAAATACATATGCATTAACAGAATGAATAGGACATTTTCAGAAGATACGAGCTATCCATCATATCTGTACCTCTTGTAAGCATACATAAATTTAGTAGAGCCAGAAACTATTCCATTGGTGCACTTTATCCCATTATACATCATCACTTTATTTAAAATGATAATACAGCTGAAAACAAAAGCCATATGGGTGGCACATGATTTTGCTTTTTGGCATCACACCTAGTAAATGTTAAAGAGCAAAACTATTCCCAATGCCATTTAACATGACTACTTTATCCTGTTTTATTTTTCACACTTGTAAAAACCAGAGTATTTACAAAGCCAATAGGCTAGACATCCAAAAGGAGATCAGCACTTACTAGTACCCATTGTTCCAATATAACACTACTTCTAATTGTGTGTAAATGGATGCCACAGAGAATTTGATTTGAGTGCCAAGTTCAAGGGATTCTTTCTTGATGGGCAAACTATCAAGAATTGTTCACAAGACCTGCTACTTAATGACTATGTTGCTTATGAAAATATTTTATCTAATGTTTTATGAGTGTTTTAAGTGTTCACAGTATTATAGTAATATTTATATAATCCTTCCTGAGTCTTCATCATTATTTCATTTATCCGTAAAAAAAAAGCCTTTATGGAAAAGCTACAAATTTTGGCTGGACTGTGTAACCCTACTAAAATTGTATTTACTGCTGAACATACCCTTCCACGATGAGAGGGCCAGGGTCCTGTCTACAATTTCATACTGACCTTAAAAACAACTTGAAGCATATCTTAGGCCTAGGGCAAATTGAAGGCAATACAACTTCTTCTATTCTTTAGCAGTGATACAGCAATAAGGAGTTTCATCTACACAATACTAGACCAGATTTGGAAAGCCTTCTTCTATTACCACATAGTTTTCCTAAAAACTGAACCATTATGCTTCCCACCACCCAGCCATACACCCTTTCAAGGCACCACACCTCTCTGTTTATTCTCACAAATACAAAGATGGAAGGAATTTTTAGAAAGAAGCATCTTGGGAAGAGTGCATTTCAAGCAAAACAGTTCTAATTTATTCACACCTGCTATTTGCACTGTTGCTGCTTTTAATGTGTGAGAGATGTATTTACAAGTTGTATAAAGGAGTAGTTATTTTTTTCATGTAAGCCCTACCTGCAGTTTGAGTGCACAGCCCAGAAACAGGTTTAGCATCCTGTGAGAAGCCCAGCTACATATTATGACAAAGATGGAGGAGTGCTTATATTTCCTCCCTTTTCATAGGTGTGGAAGGTCCAATTTTATTAGAACACCCATATCAATAATGCCTACATACTTCTAGATCACCATGAAAAAGCTGAGGGCTAAGGCTTTTTGAACAAGAGAACAAGAGAACAAACTTTCATTTTTCCCCAATTTTTTCTGTCTTTTTTTTGGACATCAATTCCCAGAATTAGTTCCAGGCCACATCTACAGACACCTACAGTTCGCTCAACTGGACCAGAACCTGGCTTCAAGACTGCACAGCCCTGCTTCCTGTTGTTAATTCACAATTTATTTATTGGACTTGGACTTATATACCGCCCCATAGCGCTACAAGCCCTCTCCGGGCAGTTTACAATTTTTAATTATACAGGCTACACATTGCCCCCCCCCCCAGCAAGCTGGGTACTCATTTTACCGACCTCGGAAGGATGGAAGGCTGAGTCAACCTTGAGCCAGCTACCTGGGATTTGAACCCCAGGTCGTGAGCACAGTTTTAGCTGCAGTACAGCGTTTTAACCACTGCGCCACGAGGCTTCCTGGCAGGTATAAGCTCTACAGAGGGCACATACTGAAGAACTATAACTTCCAGGAAGCACTGTGACAGCTTTGCTTTTTTGTGCATTAACAGGAAGTGAATCCCAAGATAGCTACGCAACCTTGGAGGTAGGCGGTGGTCCAGGTGAGTGAAATGTGGATGTCTGTAGATGTGGGTCTATGGGCTAGAACTCTCAAAATTCTTCCTGGAGAATTCTTAGAGGATTCTAAGAACTAGAGTTTTTTTTTTTAAAAAAAGGAATGATACATCTCTAATCGCCTCTGTGACACAGATGAGAAAAGGAAATTTAATGTCTCTCAATATAACCCCCATTTTATCAAAAACTGCATTTTCTCCTGTACATCTGCACAGAAACAGCTTCAGTGATTAAAATAAGAAGTCATCATTGACACTGATGGGGACATATTTTTCAGGAATCATAGATGCTCCATAGAGAGGCAATTAATGATAAACCTGGGGCTAGGAAAGGAAATAAATTCTCTTGTTCTACAAGTTTTTATTAATTTTCCATAGGAATAGGGATTGAGATACAGGCAGGGGAGCAGGTGAAAGAGAGTGAAAGAGAGTTAAAGAATATTCTTACATCTGTTTATACAGTTATATTTAAAAGGGAAATCATATGAAGAGAAAACAATATACTGTATTTTTCCATGTATAAAATGACACTTTTCCCCAAAATAATTAAAGGAAAAATTGAGGGCTGTTTTATACACAGAAGTAAGGAGGGAGGGGAGTGATCAAAGCACTTTAATCCCTGCTTTCCCCCTCCACTTTTTTGCAAAGAAAGAAATTTTGGTTTAGAAGGGCGTCTTATAAATGGGGACATCTTATACACGGAAAAATATGGTCAGTTTTCCAGAATATAGTTACTAATATTTCATTTCCTTGGACCTTCTATTTCTTTTTCTTTTTTCTTTTGAAAGGAAATAACTCATGCACACAAATGCACATTTAAAAAAGAAGACCTAGCTGCTAGTAAAGTCTTTAATTTGACATACATTTGAGTCTTAAAAATTAGGCCCTAGTAAGTTTGCAGCAGAGGCAAATTTTAAAGTAGAGATATCCTGGCCCCTAGCTCTGTATCTTAGGAACTCTTTGTTAAGCTCTCTTTGCTGACTGATAAACTATTGATGTGCAGCTTGCTTTTAGTTCATCCCAGAGCCATGTACTGAATAGCTCATACAGAACAATGGAACAATTATTGCTGGGGAAAGCTTTACATGCAGAGTTGAGGTCATACTGACACAAACAACTAGGACACCTGTGCTTTCATGGAATCATAGAATAATTGAGTTGGAAGGGGCCTATAAGGCCATCAAGTCCAACCTCCTGCTCAATGCAGGAATCCAAGTCAAAACAGATCTGTCCAATTTTCTCTTGAATGTCTCCAGCACTGCATCATACCACTGCTTAAATTTTCACCAAAATAGAGCAGCTAGACCTTCCTCTACGAATAAAAGAAGAAACCCCAACACAAGTGACCCAGAGCTAAAGAGGTCTTTTGCAATGTTATATTCCTGAAGCGTGTACTCTCTGTCTTCCCAAATCATATGCCTACAAGAATAGAGCTCATTTCTTGATAATACTAATTCTTCTGAAGAGAGTTGTGACTGGAAGCTGTTAAAAGTTGTCCCTCAAATAAATAATGGCTAAATATTTTAAAATAACAGAGAAAACTGCATGGCTAGGTAGGAAGTTTCAAGGGGGAGAAAAGAAAATGGAGGAGTAGAAAACTACAGTATTAAGAGTCTTTTACAGTAGGTGGTTTCTTTACTAAACTTAAGCTCCTCTTACAAAATAAAATCACAAACGTTTTCCTGCATGTAGAGGAATCCTCCTTGGGCAGCTTTCCCAAGCCTGATGCCCTCTAAATGTGTTCAGCATGGAAATTCTTGCTGAGGACAATGTGAGCAGAGATCCACAACATCTGGAGAACATAACATAGAAAAAGACTGCCACAGGACTTGGTTTCCTCTCTGAGTTCAAAGTCTTAGAGGAATTTTTGGTTAATTCCTTCTAATTAGCAGAGCATAAAATATAAAAGTCAGTTGTAGCGCAGGGGAAATGTGAAGGACGATAGCTAAAAGTCCCAGTTTCCACACA